GGAGGGCATCGATCCTTCCCGAATTATATGTCGAGGGTTCGCGCGCAGCATAATCATCTGGGTTCGAGTGGAGTGGCCAGCTGGCTTTGGCATCACAGCAGGCGGTCCGATCATGCACCAGAGGCTTGGGCCGGCGCACAACGGGAGCCCCTCTGTTACGACGACCTCATTAAGGGATTCGACGACGGCCTGTATGGAGACGCGCCCGCGTGCAACGGGGCCCCTCTTGGGCCCGTCAATTTCTTAACTTTGGGCTTATATTCCCTTCTACACGAGATCGAGCTCAGCAACATCATCATCGAGGACATCGCGTTCGTCCACATCCGCATGGAGGTGGCTCTGTTGTTGCCGGCTTCGAGGACGGACCCCGCGGCAAAAAGCACGAAGAGATCTTGGGGCTGTTTGTGCGCCACGCGTTCGCCTCTCGAGTTCCCGCGCCATGCTGCGCTGCGCCAGCTCGACATTTTGGCGGGCCGTTTTAGCGCGGGCGCAGAGTTGCCCAAGGAGCTCCCGCTCTTCCTGGACCACATGGGCCGCGCCGTGTCGAAGGCGCATGCGGTGGACAGCCTCGTCGAGGTCTCCACCAGGGCTGGCATTCAGGCGAGGGGCGCGCGTGGCCGGGCACTTATCAGCGGGCATCCGCTCCGCATCACAGGGGCCCAGCACTTGAGCACCAGCGGGCTGCGCATTTATCAGCTGCAGCTTCTTGCCGGGTGGAAGTCGGCCATCGTGATGCATTATGCCCAGCAGGCACCGTTGGCCACGACCACGGCGGACGTGAAACGGCGGCGCTTGGAGTCGGGCCTCGACGAGAAGCTCCTGAAAATCAGGGATTCCATCGAAAAGCTGCAGCGCGAGAAGCAGGAGAGCGACCAGAGTGTCGCGCAGCTGCGCGAGTCGATCGACAACCAAGCCGCGGACCTGGACAGGCAGACGCGGCTGGCCGTGCAGCAGGAAGTCGAGGCGATCCGCAGGGTCAGCGAGACAGGGTTCGCACAGTATGTGTGCAACTTGGGTGCGCAGCCACACGTCTGGCACAGGCCCCGCCCCAGTGCGGACAAACTAGCGCCCAAGCATTGGCGCGCGGCGCTCGGCTGGCATTACGCATTCGCGGACCAGGCGTCTCGTAGTAGCCATGCCCCGCCCGAAGGTGCCAAGCGTTGCAGGAAGTGCTGGCGGGAGAATGGGGTAGTCGATGGGGGGTCCTGCGACTAGACCCCCCTACGGGGTTGGCGATTCGCCCTGCGTCGGAAGATGAGGGCGGCGCATCGGCTGGGTCACAGGGCTAGACGGGGGGGGAGGCTAGGGCGGGATCAAACGAATCGTCAGGCAAGCATTCCCCGACCCACACGATGCAGCCAACGTTGAAGAGAAAAATAGCGCTTTATCTCTACGCCTCCACTCGCCTCATCGTCACTGGCAGGGCGGGCGGATTGTTTGGAGGCGTAAAGAGATTGTGTGGGTTCTCGGCGGCTCTCTGGCCTCGGGGTGCCTTCCTGCAGCTGCGCCTCGCCGAGGGTGTTCCGGGCGTGCTCGGATCGTCCCGAACGGCCGCTGGAGAGCCGAGATAGGGCCAGAAAACCAGGGGGCCATGGTGCGGTCAGGGACTTTGGCTAAAGCGTGCCAGTTCTTGCGTTTCTCCCGGAGCTCGGCCTCTGGAGCCCGGTATCGAGCTCAGGAACATCAAACATGACCCGCGACGAAAAGTTGAGCTGCCCCCGGGCAAGGAGTCGGAAGCTTTGGGGGTCCCCAGCCGCGAGGTGGCATCGAGATCCCGAGGGCCTCACCTCAGGGACAACGTGAAGGGTTGGGTACGACCAGGGGGGACGCATCGACCCCCAATCGCCCAGTCATCGCCGATAGGGGTCCGATCGCCCTGCCCCGCCCAGGAGCTTTTGGATTGGCCATCGGGGGCTAATCGCCTACCTAGATCGAAGACGCCTACGGCGAGTCACCGCCGCCCCCTGCCCTTTCGGAAACGCCTATGTGGCCGAACGTTGAGGCCAGAGCCCTGTCAATATATCAGGCCATGTGTTCCCCGGGGAAGAGGAGGAGAGTGAGGAATGGGCGTGTTCGGGGCCCCTTGGGGGCTCTTGTGGGCTTTTAGACGCGTCTTGGGGCCTGCTGGCCGAAGGTTGGGTCAGATCCTTGCCAATCTTTCGGAACCAGTGCTCCCCGAATCATAAGAAAAGCTTTCGGGGAACACGTGGAGGAGGTTGGGGAAGAGGGGGAGAGTGAGGAAAAAGGGAAAGGGAGGAAGATTCCTCTTGGGAGCCTCTTGAGGCACTCTGGGACTCAATTGGGCCATCTTGGCCGTCTGGAGGCCATTTTGACACTTTCGGGCCTTCCTGGAGGACGTCTTGGAGGGCTCTTGGGGCGTCTGAGGCCGCTTGCGTGCCTTTTGGGCAGTCTAAGGCCATCTGGGGCCGTCTTCTGTGCATCATGGGGCCATGCCGGCTGGCTTGGAGGCCTTTGTGGCCGTCTTGGAGGCATTTTTGAGGCCATTTTGGCCGTCTTGGAGGCCATCTTCGGCGTCTTCGGGGCCATCTTGGGCCGTCTTGGGCTCTTCTTGAGGTCCTCTTGGGGGCCTCTTGGGCTGTCATGGGGCCATCTTGGAGGCCACTTGGGCGCTCTTGGGACGATGTTGGAGGCCTCTTGGGCCGTCTTGGGCCGTCGGAGAGCTGATAATAAGAAAATGCTGAAATCCTTCAAGCACCTTAGGATCATCAATGATGTTTGCCCTTTCGGGCCTTGTGGAGGACGTCTTGGAGGCCTCTTGGGGGCCTCTTGGCCAGTCGTAGGCCATCTTGGAGCCATCTTGGGCCGTCTTGGAGGCTTCTTGGACGAACTTGAAGGCATCTTGGACTCTCTCAGGCCGTCTTGGAAGCCATCTTGGACCATCTGTGGCGACTTGGAGGCCATCTTTGAGGCCATATTGGGCCAACGTGACCATCTTAGAGGCCATCTTGAGCCGTCTTGGAGGATTATTTGCGGTCGTTGAGGTGGTTTCAGGGCCTTTCCGGGACCCTGGCGGGATCGGCCGAAGCCTTCGGGGGAAGTTCTTTTGGAAAAGAACCAACACCAAAATCGAAAGGATCTAGCACGCCGGGCACCCCTGTGGCAAGCCAACAGGCGGCGGCGGATCCAATGGGCCTTCTGCGCTTCCTGCCACCGTGCCCGGGTTGTGGGCCATAGGCTTCTAGGATGTTCGTGGGTCGCCAGAGGCATCTCGGGGGCCTCTTGGGGACCTCTTGGGACGGAGGATTCGTATTTTCGGTTTGTGTTTCCCCTCTTGGGCCGTCTTGGGGTTGTCCTCGGGGCCTCTTGGGCCGTCTTGGAGAGTCGTGAGCTCGAAAAATCAAGAACCCCCAAATCATTGAAAACCACTGGAAGATCAATGATTTTGGTCTCTCGGGGCCCCTCTTGGGAAGGCTATTGGGGCTCCCTTGGGGCGTCTCGGAGGCCTCTTGGGACCATCTTGGGCGTCATGGTGCGATCTTTCGGCGACTCGGGGTCCTTACGAATTGTCTTGGGGCCCTTTTGGAGCCCTCTTGGCTCGTCTTGGGGCCCTCGGGAACCCCAAGAGCCACGCGCCAAGCCCCGGACCGTGTCGGGCCGTCTTGGAGGCCTCCTGGGAGCCTTTCGGGGCCGTCTAGTGGGCTTTCGGAAACCAGGAAGGTAGAGCATGCCAAAAGTTGACAAACATTAGCAGGAAAAGCGTGCTGTGTTCTCGAGGGCTCCTTGGGCATCCTCTTGGAGCCTCTTGGGCCATCTTAGGGGCCACGTGTGCTGTCTTGGGACTCTGTTGGAGCGCCTGGATGCCTTCTTGGGCAGTCGTGGGATCGCCTTGGAGACCTTCTGGCCGTCTTGGGGTGAGCTTGGTTGATTCGAGGCGCTGTGTTTCGTGTTTTGGCTATCGTGTTGAGTGTGTGTGTGTGTTGCGTTTGGAGGTTTATTGGATGTTGTTGCAGTTTTGGGTTTTGTTGGCCCCCTCGGCCAAAGCCTGTTCAAAGAGTAAACCCGTTGTGGGAAGTATTCAATCTCGGCTCTGGTGAAGGGGGGATGTTCCTGGCCCATTCGCAACGAGGGGATGGGTCGGCCGTATGGAACATTAAAGAGACCTTCTCAGACACAAGGCACGGTGACGGATATGTACGCGGACCACGTGGTTCGGCATATTGAGTGTGGCCCAACGTCTCAGGTGTTGAAGTGGAATTGTCAACGTGTTGCCCGTCAGAGCGTGGGAAAAACATCGGGCAGACAGGGTCTTGCAAGGTCTCGCCAGTGGAATTTAGGGGGTCCATGTCGGTGGACTGTTTGATAGGAATTGGCCGTGCTTTCATGAAACAGGCACGCATACAATTGGATTCGATGTTTGTCGAGAGCAATTGTAGGAGCCGCCCTTCTCTTGGTGGCGCTATCGTGCTTTTCTTCCTTGGCCCCAAGCTCCCGTCAGCGTGCGGGGCTGTTCGGCACTTCAAGGAAGTTGATCACATCAATCACACCGGCGAGAACGTAAACATCATCCTCATTCACCATCATCATCATGGTCAATATCCTCCTCATTGCCATCCACATCATCACCATCATCACCAGCATCACCATCACCACCATCATTATAAACATAATCATCATCGCCATCTTCATCACCATCACTACCACCACCACCATTACCACCACCACCACCATGATCATCATCATCATCATCATCATCATCATCATCATCATCATCATCATCATCATCACCATCACCATCACCATCACCATCACCATCACCATCCTCATCATCAGCAGCAGCATCGTCATCACCATTCATCGTCATTCATCGTCACCATCACCATTCATTGTCATTCCTAATCATTACCACCAATTTCTTCATCATCATTGTCATCACCATCACCATCACCATCACCATCATCATCATCCTGCCCTTCCCTCCCGCGCCCCGTCCTCTCGCCCTGCCCCCCCCCCCCTGGCGCGGAGCCCCATCCCTTGGAAAGGCTAGCCGCGCTCAGAGCGTGCACGAGGTGCGGCGGGAGCTGGCGCGCCTGGAGCTGGACCTCCTGGGCGCGCAGAAGGCGCCCCCTTGGACGCCCGAAGTGGATGCGGAATGGTCACGATGCCCAACAATCTAGGGCTCCTAAATGGGGTCGGAGATGGAGTCGGAGGATCGCGCCGCATCGCCGATGCATCGTCGATGCGACTCCCCTCTGGACGCCCGAAATCGATACGGAAGAATGGGCACGATGCCCGACATCGAAGAAGAAATAACGCCATCAACAGAAATTGTTGGCACTCCGCGCGGATTTCTTGGATCCGTGCTGGGCCCCCCCAGGGGCAACGCTTGGGGGGGGAGCTTCGGCTTCGAGGTTCCCGGTATTCGAATGCTTTCGTCGGTTCTCGGCAGGTTTCCAGCCTCGGGGTGCCTTCAGCGGTTGCGCCTCGCCGAAAGCATTCCTGGGTTGCCCGAGTGGCCCCGAACGGCCGCCGGAGAGTAGAGTTATGACCCGAAAGCCAGGGGGCAGCGTTAGGGAGAGATGGCTCCGGGGGAGTGCATCGACACCCAATCGCCCGTCCATCGCCGATAGAGGCCCGATAGATTGCCCCACCCAGGAACTGGCGGGTTTGCTATCGCCAGCTCGTCGCCGATCTATCGGCGATGTATCGCCGACTCCAGCTCGAGGCTTACCCCCTAAGCCGCTTCCCCCCCTGAGCCGGTCCCCCCTCAAACGTTGCCCCTCAGGGAGGGGTGTAAACACATTAGAACACAAAGTTGGCCATTGATTTTTGCCAGAGGCCAATTCCAAGTTCCAGTAAAGCCGGCCGCGACATACATGAATCGCATGTCGGCAGCCATTACGTGGGCCGAGCGCGCAGTCAAAAGTTCGTGCCCCAGGGAGCTGTTTCCGACGGGGATACTGGGCGGGCGCCAGGGAGCCCACCAGGCCGGCTTGCCCAACTCAGCCCCTCCACCCATCCCACGTATTCACCCCGCGTCCATATGATCTGTTGCGATCTTCCAGGTTGTAAATTCTGTCTTTGCACCAAGGGACATTGAATATGTTGGCTGATCATTTCTCGCCATTATAATTGTTGTGTTGTGTGAGTGTGTTTGTGCTTGTGTGTGCGTTCGTGTTGTGTTTGTGTTGTACTGTGCTGTGTTTGTGTTGACTGCGTGTGTTGTGTTGTGTTGTGCTGTGTTGTGGTGTGGTGTGGTGTGGTGTGGTACGGTGTGGTGCGGTGTGGTGGGTGGGCGGGTGTTGTGCTGTGCTGTGCTGTGGTGTGGTGTGGTGTGGTGTGGTGTTGTGTGGTGTGATGTTGTGTGGTGCGTGTGTGCGTGAACTTGCGTGCGGGAGTGAATATGCGTCCGCGTGTGTGCGTGCCTGTGTGTGCGTTGTGTGTGAATGTGTGTGGATGTGTGTGTGTGTGAGTTTGCGTGTGTGCGCGAATGTGTGTGAATGTGTGTGAATGTGTGTGAATGTGTATGTGCATGTGTGTGACTGTGTGTGTGGTCGTTGTGTGTTGTGTGTTCTGTGTTCTGTGTGTTGTGTGTTGTTTGTATTGTGTGTGCTGTGTTGTGTTGTGTTGTGTCGTGGTATGGTGTGGCGTGGCGTGGAGTGGTGTGGTGTGATATGGAATGGTGCGTGGTGTGGTGTGTGTATGTGCGTGTGCGTGTGCGCGTGCGCTGTGTGTAAAGGTGAATGTGTGAAGGTGTATGTGTGTGTGTGGCTGCGCGCTTGTGTGTGAACATGTATGTGTGAATATGTGTGCGAGTTTGCGTGCGTGTGTGAGTGTGCGTTTGTGGTACTGTAGCCCCCATTGCGAGTGTTTTCGGCTCCGTGTTTGGGAGGTGCGACGAATTTCGAGACCTCCCACGAGGGAAGGTGTAGATAGCGGGGTTGCGCCCAGAGCATGTTCTCCGCAGACATAGCAGGTTGCTGCGCGATCTAAGGCTATTAGGTTGGCGCGTGTGGTGGTGGCGCCGCGCGTGGTTGTGCCCGCGGTTGCGTTGATTTGCGCGCGGGGGCCATGGTGGTTTGCGCAGTTGGCGGCGTCAGATCTCATTTTGGACGCGATATTCGCAGCCAGCCGTTGGCAGAGGGTGCCCTTTTGAAGGATCGTCCAAACGATTGGGAAACACGAACAACATATTGGTATATGGTTTGTCTCTATTTCGGAAGAGGGGGAGGAGAGAGCGATGGGGAAGGAAGTAGGAGGGATTAGGAGCAGGAGGAGGGAGAGGGATGGGAGGAACGCAGAGGGAAGAGGTGGAGTACAGAGGAATGCAGGGAGGGAGCAGGAGGAAAATGAGGAGGAGGAGGAGAAGGAGGAAGAAGAAGAAGACGAGAAAGAAGGGGACGCACACCCTCTCCTCCCCAACCTCCTCCTCCTCTCCTTTTTCTCTTCCCCCATCTCCGCCTCCTCCGCCTCTCCTTCCCTTCTATCCTTCTTAGCGCTGCCCTTGGGCGTATAGTCGAAAATTACGCTACCGAGGAACCCCACATACTTATATTATGGCTGGAGTGATGATAGCCTCCTCCTCCTCCTCCTCCTCTTTCTCGTCCTCTCCCCCTGGCCATTGATATCAGAGTGAGGGTGCCGAACGGTCAGTCACTGTCCCTGGGTGCGTGGCTGCAGTGGAATTCCGCGGTGCGGATTATTGTTTGTTTGTTTGTTTGGTTGGTTGGTTGGTTGGTTGGTTGGTTGGTTGGTTGGTTGTTGTTGTTGTTGTTGTTGTTGTTTCTGTTGTTGCTGTTGTTGCTGTTGTTGCTGTTGTTGCTGTTGTTGCTGTTGGTGTTGTTGGTGTTGTTGGTGTTGTTGTTGTTTGTTGTTTGTTGTTTGTTGTTTGTTGTTTGTTGTTTGTTGTTTGTTGTGTGTTGTTTGTTGTGTGTTGTTTGTTGTTTGTTGTTTGTTGTTGTTGTTTGTTGTCGTCGTCCCACCCGCAACCCGCCCCGCGACCCACCCGCGACCCCACCCGCGACCCAACCCGCGACGCACCCGCGCCCCACCCGCGACCCACCCGCGACACACCCCGCGACCCACCACGCGACCCACCACGCGACCCACCCCGCGACCCACCCGCGACCCACCCGCGACCCACCCGCGACCCACCCGCGACCCACCCCGCGACCCACCCCGCGACCCACCCCGCGACCCACCTTCGACCCAAACCACGTTCAAGGTACAAACCACCATTTTCGGCGCCTGCGGCGGCCACGTTCAGGGTACAAACCACATTTTTCGGCGCCTGCGGCGGGCATCTTTTGCATTCGTTTCAGGTGGAGAGCCCGCGGCCCACCCGCGACCACGTTCAGGGTACAAACCAAATTTTCCGGCGCCTTCGGCGGGCATCTTTTGCATTCGTTCCCGGTGGAGAACCCGCGGCCCACCCGCGACCCAAACCACGTTCAGTGTACAAACCACATTTCTCGGCGCCTGCGGCGGGCTGCTTTTGCATTCCTTCCAGGTGGAGGTGGAGAGCCCGCCACCCACCCGCGACCCAAACCACGTTCACTGAACAAACCAAAGCCGCACAAACGCGGCGGCGGATTTTTGCATGCCGTCTGAGCCCGCAACGACCTCTTCAAGCCCCGCGCATCCACACCAGCCCGTCCAGCAACTTTGCCCTGGCGAGTTGCCTTGATCAGAGAAGGCGGGGAGCATAAAGTGGAAAAAAGGATTGCGTTGCCGTTATCTTGGGAAAGGAGGGGGAGGCAGGAGGAGTAAACAGGGGACGAGGAGGACGCGGAAGAAGAGAGGATGTAAGGAGAATGTGGAGAAAGAAAAGGAGGAGGAGCAGGAGGACGAGGAGGGGGAGGAGGGGAGGAGGGGGAGGAGGAAGAGGGGGAGGAGGGGGAGGAGGGGGAGGATGATGATGATGGACGACAATGGGAGGACGATGATGGAGGCCGATGAGGGGGAGGACGACAATGGGAGGACGATGATGGAAGGACGAGGGGGGGAGAGGGAGGACGAGGAAGAAGAGGAGGAGGAGGACGAGGTGGAGTAGGAGGATGACGATGACGATGACGATGAGGACGAGGACGAGGAAGAGGAGGAGGAGGAGGAGGAGGAGGAGGAGGAGGAGAGCGCCATCGACAAGGAAGGTGGGGGCCACGAGGTCCGCCGGCTCGACGACGCCCGTGTCTCCCGGTCCCTCCCCCTCACTCTTATCCGCAATTGCGGGGTGCTACGTACTCCTTCGCACCCCCTACGGTGTCGAGAAAGTGCTATCCTGCCTTGCCCTGGACGACTGGCTCGGATAGCGGCGCCGCGCTCAGGGACCACCCCCTGCGCACCCCCTACGGTGTCGGGAAATGCCACTCCTGCTATGCCCTGGACGACCGGCTCGGATAGCGGCCGCGCTCAGGGACCACCCCCTGCGCACCCCCTACGGTGTCGGGAAATGCCACTCCTGCTATGCCCTGGACGACTGCTCGGATAGCGGCCGCGCTCAGGGACCACCCCCTGCGCACCCCCTACGGTGTCGGGAAATGCCACTCCTGCTATGCCCTGGACGACCGGCTCGGATAGCGGCCGCGCTCAGGGACCACCCCCTGCGCACCCCCACGACGTCGGGAAATGCCACTCCTGCTATGCCCTGGACGACCGGCTCGGATAGCGGCCGCGCTCAGGGACCACCCCCTGCGCACCCCCTACGGTGTCGGGGAATGCCATGCTATGCCCTGGACGACCGGCTCGGATAGCGGCCGCGCTCGGACCACCCCCTGCGCATGGTGTCGGTGCCACTCCTGCTATGCCCTGGACGACCGGCTCGGATAGCGGCCGCGCTCAGGGACCACCCCCTGCGCACCCCCTACGGTGTCGGGAAATGCCACTCCTGCTATGCCCTGGACGACCGGCTCGGATAGCGGCCGCGCTCAGGGACCACCCCTTGCGCACCCCCTGCAGTGTCGGGAAATGCCACTCCTGCTGTGCCCTGGATGACTGGCTCGGATAGCGGCCGCGCTCAGGTACCACCCCCTGCGCGCCCCCTACGGTGTCGGGAAATGCCACTCCTGCTATGCCCTGGACGACCGGCTCGGATAGCGGCCGCGCTCAGGGACCACCCCCTGCGCACCCCCTACGGTGTCGGGAAATGCCACTCCTGCTATGCCCTGGACGACCGGCTCGGATAGCGGCCGCGCTCAGGGACCACCCCTTGCGCACCCCCTACGGTGTCGGGAAATGCCACTCCTGCTATGCCCTGGACGACCGGCTCGGATAGCGGCCGCGCTCAGGGACCACCCCCTGCGCACCCCCTACGGTGTCGGGAAATGCCACTCCTGCTATGCCCTGGACGACCGGCTCGGATAGCGGCCGCGCTCAGGGACCACCCCCTGCGCACCCCCTACGGTGTCGGGAAATGCCACTCCTGCTATGCCCTGGACGACCGGCTCGGATAGCGGCCGCGCTCAGGGACCACCCCCTGCGCACCCCCTACGGTGTCGGGAGATGCCACTCCTGCTATGCCCTGGACGACCGGCTCGGATAGCGGCCGCGCTCAGGGACCACCCCTTGCGCACCTACGGTGTCGGGGAATGCCACTCTTGCTATGCCCTGGACGACCGGCTCGGATAGCGGCCGCGCTCAGGGACCACCCCCTGCGCCCCCCCTACGGTGTCGGGAAATGCCACTCCTGCTATGCCCTGGACGACGTGCTCGGATAGCGGCCGCGCTCAGGGACCACCCCCTGCGCACCCCCTGCAGTGTCGGGAAATGCCACTCCTGCTATGCTGTGCTGAGCTGAGTTGTGCTGTGCTGTGCTGTGCTGTGCTGCGCTGTTCTGCTGTGCTGAACTATGCTGTGCCGAGCTGAGCTGTGGTGTGCTGTGCTGTGCTGAGCTGAGCTGAGCTGTGCTGTGCTGAGCAGTGCTGAGCTGTGCTGTGCTGTGCTGTGCTGTGAGGGCCGCGAGGGAGGTGTGTGTGTGTGTGTGTGAGACGCGGGTGCGACGCTGCAGGGATGAAAACCAGAACCCCACTAAGCATGTGGGGAAATACCGGCTGCACAGCTTTGCAGGGAATTGTAAAATCAAGAGAGCCAAAGAGAAGGAATAAGACGCCGACGAGGACGACGACGGCAACGACGACGACAGTCGCGGGGGATCAAAGATACAAGTCGGCCCCCGAAATTGTGTTCGGGTGCGTTCTGGCCACATTTTCGGAGGGAGCCCAGCCGTGGCGACGAGGTGTCCCCAGGAGCCCTGGAAAGGAAAAAGAAGCATCCGAACCGCTGTATCATTGGACCCTGCCTTCCCCTCCCTCCCTCCCCAGGAGCTTCGCTCCCCACCAACTGGTTGGAGGGGGGAAGACCGACGACGCCCAACAACCTCGGGCCTCGATCCTGGGTCCTGGGGCCTCCCCCCCTACTGGCGGGAGGCTGCAGCACCGCTCATCGATACGCTGTTGCCGAGCAGACCTCGAAGGTGGGCGCTTGCTCTCAGAGGAGTACCCCAACTTTCTTCCGTTGGCCATTCTCCGCAGACCTCGCTGGGGCTCCGCCTTCTCCTCCTCCTCCCCTGGTCCCTGATCTCCTGGTCTCCTGGCTTTTGGGGTCTCCCTGATGCGGTGCTGATTCTCCCCTGGCCTCCTGACCTTGGGGTCTCCCTCTCTCGGGCTCCCGGGGGTCTCGAGTGGATGCGAATCTCGCACGCCGTGGTCATGATGGCCAGCGGTGTCTTTCCCTGTCTGTCTGTCGTCCGTCTGTCCGTCTGTCGTGTCTGTGCTGTCTGTTCGCGGCCGCACGTTCGGCCACGGCGACTGTCCTGGCGGGCCGCGATGCCCCAGGGGGACATGACGAGGCGCCAAGCGGGCATCGTGGCCGCTCGTGTCGCAGGGGCGCCCGCCCACGCCGTTGTTTGCGTTCCGCTGGCGGGGGCTTGGGGGCCGTGGTGCTCTCCCAGGGTACCCTTTGCCAGTTCGCGGTTGAGAGGTGGTCAGCTCCGTTGCGGGAGCTTGAAGGTCTCTGGAGTCTTCCGAAGACAACGTAGTAGTCGACGAACATGTTCTTTCTCAAAAGCCCAGCGCTTGCGTGCTAGGCGCCAGCTTCGGGAACCGCCCAGCTTCCTTTAAATGTGGGCCGAAAGCTTGAGCACCTCTCCCTCCCCTCGAGGAGGAAGCGGAGGAGGAAACCGTCCCGCCGTTCGGTCGCTCTTTCTGCTCAATGTCCCTCTTGATGCTGTTACACCATTCCCCTGGCGACGGCCTGGAGGAGGGGCATCGAGGATTCCAGTCGTCATGGGCAAATCGACCCGCAGCTCGAAGTTCGAAGGGGGAGAAACGAGAGGAAGGGACAGCGAGGAAGAGGAGGAGGAGGAGGAGGAGGAGGAGGAGGAGGAGGAGGAGGAGGAGAGGCTGCCCCTCTGCCTCAAGGCAGGCTCGGCTACGATTTCGTGATGCAGGCGGGGCCCTCCATGTCCCAGGTTTGGCCACAGGTCGGCATGGATTGTTTCGGTTCGCTGGTTCGCAGGAGGAGACAAACGAGGAGGAGGAGGAAGAGGAGGAGGAGGAGGAGGAGAAGCCCCCTTCCCCTCCTGTGGGGCGAGACCGGTGGCGGGAGGGGGGGGAGAGGCCCCGCGCCCGGCGCGCGCCGCCTCCGAGGCGTCCTGCGCCGCGGAGGTTGAAGCGCAGGCGGCCGCGGAGCTGGCGCAGTCGCAGCGGGCGGGCGGGCGGGCCCTCCAGGGGGGGGACATTCTGCAAGACCAGAGGAAGACGAGGAGGAGGGGGAGGAACAGGAGGAGGAGGAAGAGGAGGCACCAGCAGAGTCGCCGCAGCTTGGCTCAAGCCATGTTGGTTCAAGGCGAGGGGCGGGCTCGAGGGCACCGAGCCAGGCCTTCCGTTCGACCATCGCGCCAACCGCAGCCCCTCCTTCCTTCCGCAGCGAATGGCTTGGAAGCAGCGCGGCTCGAGCCATGGTCGTGGACGCCAGGAACACAGATGCTGATGCGGCAGATGCAGGGCGCAAACGAAACATGGGGCACTGGAAGTGCCAGACATCGCGCTCAGCCCCAGCACCACCGTGGCAAGTTGGGCCCCCTGGGACACGTATGGCTTGAACGGCCACACCACCAGCATACCAGAGTTGCAACGCATGGCTGATATTGAAGAAAAGATGGAAAGTATTGTCACCACGGGCAAGTACCAGCAGGATATTCACAAGAGGCCGAAAGAGGACAAGCCCGTCCACATGCGGGCCGGCAAGGCCCAGCGAACAGTCACCATTCTCGAAAAAGAAGCTGGCCCACGAGATGGATATCCTCATCAGGCACCAGGAGTCAGCAAGCAAGCAAAAACTGGTGGTCAAAAGAGTCATGGAGGATATCAGCATTGCCGAGGAAGAGTACAGCACTTTCCTCTCAGGAAAGTACGAGACCAATGTCGGCGACAGACAGCAGGCAGATGAAGCCAACGCAGCGGGCAAAGTTATTCGTCGAGTCTTACTTGACAGATCAACCGAGATTCGACCGGATGGAAGCTACGACTTGTCGCCCGAAGGAGAAAATTAGCCCAAACGTCGGAAGGACACCCTCGCCACCGAGATGGGCACCCTCGCCAAGCAGCTATTCGCCGAAGCCGAGGTCAAAGCAAAAGACGCACGACGACTCCATGAAGCCGAGCAAGCAGGAGTCCAGGCCGTGCGTGCGCGGCCTGAGTCTCCTGCTGGGCGCGATGACCCTCCTGCTGCTGGGGGGCATCACCGCCGCTGCAGCACAGGCGCCCGGCGCTGCGGCAGCCGCCGCCGAGCACCCAGAAGCCCCATTCACCCCCACCACCACCACCGCCCACCGCACACACGCGCGCACATAGCCGCCAGCGCCAGGGAAGGGGCAGCCAAGGCACTCGGGAAGGCAGCGGGCAAGGGATTATTGGGTCAGTGAGGATGGCTGCAACTGCGTTGCAGCCCTTCGCAGGCTACAGCTACGGCGCTGCCACACACGCCAGGACAGAACCACGCGAAGTCGACGCGCGGGGGGGGGGGGGGGCGGGGGGGCGCTGCGCACTGCATCGGACAAGTGGCAACTTTGATGTGGATGTACCGTCTACATCAGGGGCGACGCGCGACTTGACGGTCGGTGGGCTGGGTGGGCTCGTTTCTAGAATTTACCGCGCTTCCACGTGGATAGACGTTGGGTCGGCGAGCGGCGACGCCGTGGTCAGCGACGCCCACGATATCGGGGAATTTGAGGGGGCCAGTGACCAGCCGCGGACGTTCTACTGGCAGGGCCACGGGGGCACCGGCGACCACGCCAGGGTCGAAAGCGCCGACGACGCCAGGGACGTCGACGGGATCAGTTCCCACCTGGGCTTCGACGCCATCGATCATTGGGAGCACTGCGGGGGCGCCAGTTGCCGCGCCTGAATCGGGGGCCCATCGACGCCAGGCGCTTCGGGCACGCCAGCGGCCTGCTGGGCGTCGGGCACCTGCCGCGTCTTGCCGAAGTCATAGCTGCAGCCGGGGGGGCGCCACTCCCCCCCCCCCCCCTGCTTGGGATCGCAACGTGCTGGGCGACGCAGTCTTGCCCGAGCCAGAGCAGCTGAGGGGGGCGCGCCCCCCGAGCGCCTTCTCCAGCGCATCGTCGCCGCGCGCAGGATTCGGAAGCTCGGGCAACGCGAGGCCGCGGATTCGCCGGGGCCAGAGCAGCGCGCCCCTCGATCGAGCGCTGCCCGAGTTCAGGGTCGCAGCATGCTGGGGAAAGCCCACGGTGAGGGCGCCCCCTGCTTCGAGGACATGGCCAGAAAGGCAGGGGAGCAGGATCGCGCGCCATTATCTCTCGGAGGACCTGAGGACCATGAAGCCCACTGCGAAGAGACCCAGGGCCCGCGCCAGTTGGAAAAGCTAGCTGAAGCAGCCTCTTCCGCGCCCAGGCCCCAGGCCCAGGGGGGGCCGGCGGCGCGAACACACATGCATTACGCAACGTTTCTATTTACCAACCACGCAAAGTGGACGCGCGCAGGCCACGACTACACCGATCGGCTGAAGGAGGAGGACGGGCGCTTCATCCACTTCGGGGCATAGACCCACCTACGAGGACCGCATGCCCACGCCGCGCTCAAGATGCTCAACAGGCCCCGCTGACCAGCGGCAGCGCGAGCTCCACAGCCCATCCAAACCCGGGGCTCCGGGGGGGGGAGTGGGGGGCACGGGCGGGCGGCGACGCGCGCCCGCATGAGGTCGCGCGCCGCCCGCCAGCGACGCCAATTTCGCCCCCCCCCCCCCCCCCCCCCCCCCGCTGCCCGGCAAGGCGCGCGGGCTGCGCGCGAGGTTGGGCCGCGCGGCGCCATTCTCCTTTCCCTTCTCGCCCACTCCGCGCTCGGGGAGGGCCTGCCCGGGAATGACATGCAAAGTTTGGCGGAGATGGCTCGCCAGAATCAAATGGCGGGAGCCCCCTCACTCCGGCTGCCGACTGGGACATGGAGGTTTCGGGTGCACGGGAAACGGAGATAGCGGAGCGTTGGGGTACCGGGATCGTCTTGCCAGAGGGGGCCACCCGCGCCCGCGGCAAGTGGGCGGTCGATTGCTGCCCCGCCTCCTTGCCTCGCCCTTGACCCCCAGCTTGAGCGCGACAGCGAGGGCCCTCGGGCCCAGCAACGCCAGGGGGCGAGGGGCCAGCTCGCAGGTGAGTCTCGGGACCGCCAGGCACGGGCGCCCCCTGCCCCCCAGGACGCCGCCGGGCCCCCAGGGGCCCGCGCCCTCGCTTGGGGCACATCCCTGGACCAGACCCGCCAGAAGACTACCCAACCATTCCGGCCAGCATGCCAGCGCGCGGAGTCGTGCACCACTGCCGCGTCTTCAGACCGCCATTATACGTGTCCTGTCGCAGCTGAAGCTCCATGTCTTGTCCGCGCAGGGCGGGGCCCGAGGGCGGGCGCGCCGTCGGGGGCGCGCGCCAGCTCCCGGCGCCGCCAGCCCCCAACCCGATCGCCCCGTGGCCAGCGCGACAGCAGTGTTACACAAGCTATCCTTCGGGAAGGAATCTGCGGCCAGGGCCCTGGACTTGCTGGGGGATCTCCGGGACATGCGCGGAGGCGCAGGGCGCGCAGCCGTCCGCGAGGGGGCCCGGGGGAGGTGGCGCAACTTTGGAGTGAAGCGGGGCCAGGCGAGACATTACCCCGGGCACCCATCCAGGATTCAGGACATTCAGGGTTTTCTGAAAGCCGGCGAGAGTTGCGAGGGCCGAGTTGATCAAGCCCAATCTCATGAACAATACGGCTTTCAGCATGGACCCCAACAGAACCATCGATGGGGGAGCCAAGTGGGCCCGCCGGCGGGGCCAGCCCGAAGCCGCGCCAGCCCACGAGCGGCAGCCTGACGGGCAGCTCGCGCGGGGCCCAGCGGAGGCCCCGGCATGTGACCCAACAACATCGGCGGGAGGCACTTCGGGAATCCAGAAGGCGAAGGGCGCCCCGCTACCCAAGAACGAGGTTACCCCGCAAGGCGGGTTACACTCGTCGACGAGGTTTTCAGCGCGATGCAGTTGCGGGCGCTTGAGGCCTCGAGCTCATCGCGCCCCCCAGCAATGCGAGGCACGCGCTGCTCTCCCCGACGCCATGGGCACGGGGGCCGACCAGTGGGTATCCGAGCAAAGGTTGGCCTCACCCCTACCATGGGGGGGTCCCAGGCCGAGCTGGCCCAAAGCCTGAACGACATCGGATTCTAGCTGCGCTCTGTCCGAGCAGGTTCTTCTAAATGACGCGCGGGGGGGCGCCCCGAACCGTCGGGGGGCAGGATGCGGGCCGATCACCGGAAGCCAAGGGATCTACGGACCATGGAGCAGGATGCGGAAGAAGGCGGCGACCAGTCGGAAACAGGAGAAGGCATGGTTCTAGGCTGATGCGGCGAGGCGCCTAGACCCACTCGAGGGCGCCCCCCCCGGGCTTGCCAAGGCCGAGACTAGCTCGTCCGGGCCGCGCTGCTGCTGATGCCGAGAAATCTTCTGACGCAATCAGCCCACGCTGAGTCTTCGCGCTACGCGGGCCCCCCCCGGGCCCCGCGCGCGCTCGCGACAGATCGAGTCTTCGTCGTGGGCTCCGAGGTCCAGCGCCCATCTCCGTCGAGCGCTGCAGGCGACAAGGCTGCGCGCAGAGCGCAGGGAGGACGAGCGCCTACCTGCGCGACATTCTAGACAACGCGCATAGCAACTACTTCCCATTACTAGGGGCACGATTGTTCTGGCCCACGGGCCCGCGGCCCAGGGCGCCTCGCGCCTCGCCGAGGACACGAGGGGCAAGAGGGCCAACTTCCCAAGGGAATTTCAACTTTTAGGAAGGCTACATGATCGATCTAGTCCAACGTACTCACGCAGCTCTCATGCACGAGAACATCCCAGCAGGCTCAGCTTGGCGGGAATCGAGCCACGAGCATCTTTGGGATTGGCGGCCCAAGGAGCCTCTCCCACGGCCCTCGAGCAATGGCCGCCCAAGATGGCCGCTGCGATAGGAATGCAGAAAGTAGGGGGGCGCGTCACAGCGACACTCCGCCTCGGCCCTGGTGAGTAAGGCGACCCACTAATTACGTTTTCTGCGCGGCGCGATATGGCCAAGGCGCGGACCCGCATTGCGCCTGGCCTGGCGCGGAAGAAGGTTGCTTCGTAGGCCGCGTGGCCACGGCGCGCCGCAACCATGCGCGGAGCGGTCTTACCGCGGGCTGAAGTCAAGGGGCCCATTGTTGCCATGGCCATTGTTCTCCTTCAGAACGGCTGGGGGCCCGAGCCCCCCTGGCAGCGGGTGGGCCTCTGCGGAGACCCTCGCCGTGTTTCCCGTGGGACCCCACCAGAGCGTGCCTTTTCTACTTGGCAGCTGCCTCCAGTTCAGCAGCGAGGCGGCAGCAGCGCGACCCCGCTGAATTAGCGGGCTCTATCGAGTAGCAGATCTCGCGAGATCACGACGCAGCTCGCTATCGGGGGCAAGGCCTGGAGCGCGGGGCTGACCCCGCAGTGGCATTACTTTCAATAGAGGAGTACCGGCGGCGAACGCAATGCGGGCACGCTGCTCCGCCCAAGAGGATGGCCGCTGGAGCTCCATGGCCCGCCGTCCACTGCCACCGCGACGAGTCCGAAAAAGCAAGACTGCCTGCGCCGCGATGCCGCCCGCGCTCGTCGGCAGAGCCCCCAGAGCATCGGCAGTGGGGCTGCTCTTGGGGCTGCTTTCGACGCGATGCCCAGGACGCTTGCCGAGCACGATGGCCACCCATGTTTCTGGGGCCGGGGCTCGGCCCCCACGATCTGGACCTACCCCGTCATCGACCAGCGGCCCGAGCGGGCCTTCGAAACGACGGGTCGTCTCCAGGAAGGTGCGGGGTTTGATGCCGTCGGGCAGTTTGCAGGGGCTTGGTGAAAATGGAGGGGGCCACGCCAATGACCTTCGAACTCGGGGGCGCGGCCGGGGCTTTGTCGACGCGTCTCAAGGAGCTGCCTTCAGAGAAGCCTAGGGGCCCCTCCAAGGGGGCACCAGACGGCGCCCCTCACGGAGCTCGAGGGGCTCGCCCAGGGAACTCACGCGAGCGCGCGCGCACGCGCGCATTCACCTCCCCCCAGCCATGGAGAAAGGCCCCGGTGCCGCTCAGCCGCTCCACGCGGCTGCCTGGGCCCGTTTTTGGCACGAGACGCAGAAGAGGCCGTGGGAGGCAGGTCTCACCATGATCATGAGTAGCCCCACCTCGCGGAGGCTGACATAGCGAGGCGCGCGCAGGGGCGGATGACTTTCTGCGCAATCAGGCGGCGGATGGAGCTGCCAAGCGCAGGACCCAGCTGGCCCCAGGTAGGCAGAGTCGATGATCATTGCGAGTTATTAACCACCTCTCCACGGTTGGCCAGGACGGGGCGCCGGCCCGTCAGGCGGCGCCCGAGCCTCGGCCCGCAGATCCAGTCGCAGCCCGACGCGCAGGCCAGGCCGCCCGGGCGGAGATTGCCGCCGCTGCCCGCTTCGCCTCGGCTGATTCCATCCACGCCACCGGGGGGGGGGCATTCTCACGGTATCATGACTGGCCCAGGGGTGCCCGGGCCAGCCCCGCAAGATCCACGGGGCCCATCGCATTCGGTGCCTGCGCGGGCTTTGGCGGTGCAAACTGCGCGCTGGCGGGGCAGCCGCGTTTCGCATGGTGGGGAAGGCCTGCGCGCGACCCATCGTTGCAGGCAAGAAAGCTTTGGGCAGGTTCAGCAGGGGGCTTCCCCCAGAGCAGATCCTGGCCATTAATCAGAAAACTGCAGGGCAGCCTCTCCTCTAATTTTCGAGGGCCCGATGATCGAACCTAGACATGTCCCCGCAAAGCGATGCCCGAGGAACCGGCAGGTTAAGTCACCCATGGGTTTGGGTGCCCTCTTGGGCCGTTTCGGGGGCCTCCTAGGCAGTCTTGGAGGAGAG